TACATATTTTGAAAGCACTTGCAAATTCAAAATCTGTGTTCTTATAACCATTGCTTCTAAAAGCTATGGAGTTAATTCTTTGTTCTCACAACCATTGTTTCAGTCTCTCTTCTTCTTACATCTTCTACATATGCTTCAAGGGGCCGCGTATTTTATGCTTCTCCTATTGTGTCACCTGCTTGCAATATAAGAAAATTGAAGAGTAGAAGTCCACCATTGAAGACCATTCAAAGCTTTGCTTTTGAAAATGGGTTTTTTGAATTTGTTAGTTGTTTGGAATGGGTGTTGTTCCAATTGATTGAAAATATCAAAAGGAGTTTAAAATTTAAATTTGAAGTGATTTGGAGTAGATTTGAGCAAGATTTGAGTTAAATTTCAGAAAAGACGCAAGGAAAAAGACGAAGTCAGTTTTTTGTATAATTATGTATAATCTTGTATAATAGTGTAGAAACACACCTTATACACTATTATACACTTTTATACACCTTTATACAAGCGTCTGTAGACGAACTTCTTCCACGATTTTCAATTGCAATTCTTGTTCAAAACTAGTCCAAATCTCCATTAAATTGACTTCAAGTTTTATATACAACCTCCTTATACTATTTCTAACAAGTTTAAATAACACCAACTTCAAATTTCTTACAAAATTAAATTCGGAATTTAAACCCACATATTTAAGCTTGTTAAAAATCTAATTTTTACCACCGTAATGAATTTGGTTTGTTGAATTAATATTTCAGTCACAGTTACTGATTCGAAAATTAATTTAAAAGCTTGAGGAGTTTTTTAAAAAATTAAATAGTAATTTTGAGAACCTATTGGAATTGGATATTGAATCCTAGCCTATTATTTTTGGGCTAGTTGGTTGTAGATTGAAATATGGGTTATAAAATTGAAAAGTATGAAGATTAGTTGTTCTAATGTGAAATTTTCCCTAATAAAATTGCTGTATTATTTATACTTTTAAGTTTTATTTCTGTTAGTTTGTGTCTTGAGAAAGAAACATATAGTTATATTTATAAAGTAAATAAGTATATATAATGTTACGTACCTGAGAGGGTAACTTTTTAGAAAGCAACATACTCGTAATGATAGGCTAGTAGTTATTTTTACCCAAATTCAAATAAGGAATATATTGATTTAAGCTTAATTTTACTTGACTTTAAATTTTTAAGTATTAGTAATTTCTATATAGTTCAAATAACGAAAGTCCTAATAGTCAAAGTTTTATTTAGTTCAAGCTCCTAAATATTAGAAAAATAGTTAATGACGATTTTGTTTAATATAAATTCTATTTTAAAATGGTAAAAAATGCGAATGATATTTACTAAGAATTTTCGTGCTTTTAATATAATGTACTAGTCTTTATGTATGTGCCTCGCACGTAACTCTTTAGAATTCATAAAAGAAAAAAGTATCCTTAGATTAGAGTAGATTTTAGAACCATATAACAATAGATGCGCCTAATAGTGAATGTAAAAGAAAATTCGGATTCAAAAAACGCTTTACATCATAGAAAAAGTGACATTTTAGTGCATTTTGAAATCTCCTTATATAAAATCTTGGCTCTGGCACTTGCTACAAAGAAATTGCTACTTAATTTAAATAAAGAAAGGAACATTGTAACTTATTGAATTTTATATAGTTGAATATATTGTATAGGGTAAAATTGGTTTACATTAAATGATCAAATGCCAGCATGACACGTGGAACCGAAGACAGGTAGAAAGCAAATCGTGTAATAACCAGTACCGAAAGCAGCAATTGTAATTGACATCGGATAGAACTGGAGAGAGCATAACCAACGTGAACGGATCAAATGCTTGCCATCAGATATTATTCAATGAAGAATATTCTCTGGCATTAAATGGGTAGCCGTTGCAGAGAATATTTGCATTCATGTCCTGTTGTTGCATATTCATCAATGACTCCATTTATTGCCATTTAAGAGAGGCTTGATCCTAGGATCTTATTTTTCTAGGTATAGCTATAAATAGTATACTCAATAACCATTGTAGGGGACGAAATTCTTGGCAAAACTTATGCTACATTCTATTCTCAAGCTAAATAAAATAACTTTTTTGCTCTTTATATTATTCTTTGAATGTTACTGTTTGTCACTCCTCCTTTGATATGTGTTGATCCTCTTGTATAGCTTTGTGTTGATCCTCTTGTGTAGATTTGTGTTGATCTTCTTGTATGGAGCTGCTTTGGCCTTCCTTTTCTGCTTCTTTTCCTTTTGTTATTAAGGAGTTTGGTTGGATCTTTATCTTTGCACATTGGCCAGTGGAATGGCCCAGGAAACCGCAGTTTAGGAATAGGAGTTTGTCACACTCATATAGAATCTGTTGTTTGTGTGAGTCAATCCATACATTTGATTTAACTTGTTTATTTAGTGGTAGTTCTACACAAATTCTAGCATATCGTTTACGAAGAGTTGTCGATGTGCATGCATTTATCTTGAGGAGTCTTCCTATTATGTTTTCTACTTTGTGTTAAATTTTTTCATCATAAAACTCTGCGGATAGTTCTGATAATCGTATCCATATTGCAGCAAATGTGTTGTTTGGCTCTTGAGGGCACAAAATTAGATTCCCAACGTTGCACCGATAAAAAGTTACCAAATATAAACCAGAGACCTTTTTGTAAAGCAATTTTCATGTTCTCCTCCTTGTTGAACTTCATTGTTATAGTAGTCCTCTCCCAAATCAATGAGGGGAAAGACCTCTGAAGGCTTCCATAGGTCTGTTATTTTACGTTTGAGAGCTCGGTGAAGGTTTTTTTCCCTTGAAGTTTAATAATAATAGAGAATCTCCGGGGATAATAGATTCGTTGTTGGTCTTTCCCAGTAATTGGTACTAAGTGTTCGATATCCTGATCTTTGGATGTCTTTTCCTCTTCTACCTCGATGGAGTCAATTGCCATAGGCAATAAATATGAAGGGAGTGGAGATAAAGAAAAGCTTCTTTCATGGTCATTGGCTAGGAGTTTTTCCTTGAAGGAGATGAGATCATTCGATTGGATAGGATTAATATCAGGTGGTTTTAGGGATGGTTCCACTCGAACAGTGTGATTTTCCATTATAGTTTCGGTGTGACTAATTTAATGACCGGAGAGAATATGATTGTAGTAGGATTTTACTAAGTTTTTCTTTAGATGGTTAGTTGAAGCTCCCTTTTTAAATTAAGATCATATTTGACTTGAGTCACAATCAACTAGACTAAAATTTTATTTGAGGTTATACTGTTATACAGTATAAATATTTATTCGAACAATACAATCAGCAAGCCCGATTACCACAAATTTACCGAATTCAACTTCTATTTATAATTAAATTGATTTTCTTCATCATTATTGGCGCTTTTGCTATTTAACTAAAAGCCTAATTTTCATCTAATTACTAAGTTTTAATCAATTATCAGTACTGCAGTATTTAACTTAGACAATCAAAAGGATAATGATCCCATTTTTACTTCAAATTGATAGTTTTTTGTTCATATTTCATTAGAGGAGAAGGGGACGAAGAAGGGGAAGGGGGACAACCATTAAACTCACATATATTATACAATGGACTCCTACTTACGTACTATTCCCTCCGTCTCATATTAACAGTAGTGGTTTCTAAAAATAGTTGTCTCAAATTATTTGTTATTTTAGAAGTTTAAGACAAAATCGATTATTTTTTTCCTTTTTTATCCTTAGTAATAATTGTTGTTGAAGATGGAGATAATACATAAATAGAATAAATATTCAATGAAGAGAGATTATATCTTATGACATAATAAAAGGTAGAATAGTCCAGTCCCTTTCCTAATTAGTATTTCTTAAGGGGTGTGTAGCAGAGAAACACGATACATAATATGAGAGCATTTATTTTCTTTAGTTGGATAGTTTTTTAGGAGAGCATTTTTTTTTCCTGAAAATGTATATGTTTAAGTTGCAGTTTTAATTTATTTATTTATTTATTGAAATGAGTAATTTTTTAAATTTTTTATTGAAACGAGTAATTTTTCTTATGTGTACTCATATTAATTGTTTTTATTGGAACGAGTAAAATTACTTTCACGTACAAAATATTTTATGTTGCTGCTTTATAAAACGTATTGACATATTTATTGAGAGAATGATAACATTTTAAAAAGAACCTAGAAGCATGTGGGATAAACGCATTAGAATCAGGTGGGATTAATAACAAGACACAATCATCTATTTGTATCCAATTCTCAAACTTGGCTTTAATGAAAAAAATTAGTAAATACTTTCTCGCAACCGATATTTATATCAAGGTACTTAATGTATTATATGTGTTTATACATATACTTTTCAATTTATACATCATCATTGTTTAAACTTAATAAATTAGCATTATTTGGCGTAAAATGCCACATAAACCAAAAACAACTAAAGATTTTGATCTATTGATATCCATCGAATTCTTTCACTGAATTCTTACTGTCCTTTTCTTTTGGTTTCTCCTTATGCACGAGAGGTTCGAAAATATTTGACTAGTTATTACTCCCAAACAATTTTCTGATTATAATTAAAAGAGATAATATTAAAAAATATTTAGTTATACATGGGGGTCATGAATTTCACTGAAAACCTTTTTCAAACAAATTTCTCAATACTTAATTAGTAATTCGCTATTTACAAATTGATAAATCAAATAAATATTTATAAATCCTAGATATTAATATTTGTTAATATGAAAATATTGTTTATGGGCAAATAAGTATTATGAATTTATGAGGTGGCATGGTTCCACCTCCAACTTATATGACCCGTAGCGAATCACTACCTTAACGAGACCTACCCTGTTAAGTTCTCCGTTTCAAGATTAACCAACAGACGATTACCACGTGTCCCGTCAATGCAACGACCTCGTTTCGCCACCGCATGATCTAAGCACCGCCTACGTGATCTTATTACAATGGCAACGTGTCCATAATGTAACCGGCTACAACCGGTTTTGTAGGGTTAACCAACAGGTCCAGCCGGTCAGTTTCCCGCTAGGTATAAAAATCGCGATCGAAGTTTCCTCCGATTAATTAGTCCCTAAAATCTCTCTCTATCTGGTTTTAGCTCTTGCAAGGTTCGTAGCTCTTCTTTTCCAGTGTAGTTTTTTCCTATCTGTTTCCATTTTTTATTTTTCCTGAAACAATTAGGTAGCTTTAATCCTTTTGGTTGTAATTGCTGTTATCTTAATACGATGAGCTGTCAATATAGATTTTGTCGAATTTTGTCTGTTTGTTTCTTGATCTTTTGATATAATCTACAAGTGGGGTGAAACTAAAGCTAATCAGAATATGAATTAGTGTTATAGAGATGGTTTTCAAAAGAATTTGCTTAAGATTCGAGTAATTTTTTTTACTATTGCACCAAATTTTGGGTAGTGGGTGCATGCAAAAAATGTCTAATTTTGGGAGTTTGTTTGATCTTACTTTTAATTAACCTTTTTCTATATTCTGGAGTTTTTAAGTTAAGATTATCTGGATTTAAGCCAGGAAAAGTTCTTTTTTTTCTTTTTTCTTTTAGCTGTTTGTAAGATTAGGGTTTTTATGGATGCATAAATTACTTGGGTTCTTAATTTGTAATTCTTGTTGTCTTTCTTCTTCTTCTTCTTCTTCTTCTTCTAATGATGAGTATGTAAAAATGTTGTTACTATACAGGACAAAAAGATCTGGTGCTGTCGTTTTGTTGGTGAAGATAGTAATTTATTCGGATAATTTGATGTTTGTAGATTGTTTTGATGAAATTTTGAAGGTTACATAAGAAGTTCTGAACTTAGTTCTGCACTGTAGAGCCTGGAAAAAAGGGGTAAGCACTGGAGAGGTACTTGGATTCCAGCCACCAGGGGATTGTGCCTCCAATGGCGCCTTCTCGGGTGGCTGGAGGGATGGCACATTCTTCTTCAAGTTCTGGTATCTTTTTCCAAGGAGATGGGCAGTCTCAAGTTGCCGGAAATTCTCACTTGACTTCATCTTTTGGGAATTCATCGAATTCACTACCTGGAAATCCACGGTCAAGTTTGGGTCCTCTATCTGGGGATGTTAGTAATACAGTTCTGAATAGTGTAGCAAGCTCAGGTCCTAGTGTTGGGGCAAGTTCATTGGTTACGGATGCCAATTCAGGACTTTCAGGGGGTCCCAATCTTCAGAGAAGTGCCAGCATTAATAATGAATCCTACATGCGGTTGCCTGCATCACCTTTGTCATTTTCTTCTAATAACATAAGTGTGTCTGGTTCATCAGTCATGGATGGATCTTCCATGGTTCAGCAAAGCTCTAACCAAGACCCAAACTCCCAACAACCTCAACATAATCAGCAGCGTCAGGGCGCTTCTAGTGCTACATCTTTGCCCACATCTAGAGTGGGCCAGGTTCAGCTGCCTAATGGTCAAGGCCTTAGGGTTCCAGGATCATTCATCCAGGATCCTGTGGCTTTGTCGCATATGCAAAAGAAACCGCGGCTGGACATCAAGCAGGAAGATATTCTACAGCAGCAAGTTCTGCAACAGTTGCTGCAAAGACAAGATCCTTTGCACATGCAGAACTCCAATCCTCAGTTACAAGCCTTGATTCAGCAGCAGAGGCTGAGGCAACAGCAGCAACAACAGCATCAGTTATTGCAGTATCTGCCACCGATGCAGAGAGCCCAGCTACTGCAGCAACAGCAGCAGCTGCAGCTAAGGCAACAACTTCAACAACAAAGCGTGCAGCCTGTATCAGCCATGAAGCGCCCATCTGATGGTGTCTTGTGCTCTAGACAGTTAATGCAATACTTGTATCATCAGAGGCAACGACCTCCTGTGAGTGACATTGTTTCTAGTTGTGAAGAATGGCCCATAAATATAGAACAAGTTCATGTGTCTCATTTCTATTTGATTTACTATGTCTAATAGGACAACGCTATTGCCTATTGGAGAAAGTTTGTGGCCGAGTATTATTCCCCACGGGCAAAGAAGAGATGGTGCTTGTCATTATACGAGAATGTTGGGCATCATTCACTTGGCGTGTTTCCACAATCAACCATGGTAATATTTAATATCATGGATTTTCTATTTGAATTAGTTTCTTCTTTCTCAGGCCTAAAGTTAGAAATAGTTCTACGACCACGGCTATCAGTTAGTGCTCGTTTTGTTCAACCTCATGCGCTATGCTGAATGCTTAGTTCAGAGAGAGTATTGTATGATCATATGCTTGGTGTTGTCTATTTTCTTCTTGTGATATTCTCCTGCTTGCCTGATATAATATGGCTCTGTGGTCTTCCATAACTTTAATTCATTCTCTCCTTAAACTAATTCCATAAGCAACATATTCTATTTTTTTTTTTTGACTCTGTTCTTTTTTTGGCACCAGGATGCATGGCATTGTGATATTTGTGGCTCAAAATCAGGCAGAGGATTTGGTAAGTGGAAGTTGTCATAGTCATTGATTTGCAGCCAACACATCACTATTAGTGGTTTTAGGTTGTGTCAAGTTCTAGATGCTACAATTCTATAACTCGTGTAGTATCAACTTACCTTATAGCGCAGCTTGATACATTGAGTTGAACCACTTTTTACAATAGGAGATGCAATTGCCTTTGCGTTGAACTCGAGAACATCTACTTTAAAGACGGGAGGAAGTATGGGTAGGGTTGGTGAATATGATTTTGTCTGCGCGGAAGGTCAAATTTCAACTTGTATCTGACACTATCTGCATAAATTATACACCATATTGTCTAGTTTCACCTCATTGGGCCATAATGAAAGTTGGTACAGTCTTTCTTGGATCCAAGGAACTGTTGGGAAAGAACATATTGATATAAGGTTCAACTTATCTCTTCCAAGAAGGGTAGAGTTCTTGGAGGAATTAACATTTGGACCACAATAGATGGAGCTGTGTGTAAACGTGACATTCAGAAAATGCATAGACGACCTGTATGTTGCTAGTAAAATATATACAAGTGCTTATCCAAATTAGCATATCAATAAGTTCTTAACCTCGGACTTGAGAGTCAATGTCTCTTGAGGATTCAACTTTCCCCTTCTCCTACCCCTCCCCCCCTCCAAAAAAAAAAAAATAGAAAAAAAAAAAAAATAGAAAAAAGAAAATAAAGTGTAAACCTGTTTCTAAAGTCTTACGATGCTCATTTATACAGTAATGACTTGGTGATATGGAAAACCGCTAGAGTTGTCAGTAGAGGGTGCTCTTATTGTTTGCTTTAGAATAGGAAATACACAATCTTATTTATACATTGATTCGTGGCTCATGGGATCGTCCTGTGACATATCCATTTCTGGTCACATTTGGTTATCTGTGTCACATCAAAATGTGAAGTATGTCAAGTGGCCACAGTTCCAACTCTTGCTTCCTTTATGCCAAAACTGATAATTGTGCAGCCTCAAAGTCGCTAAGACATCTGACTTAGCAAGTGATATGTAATTCAAATAAGCGTTGCAGGGGAATATGTTACTGATCAGGAAAAGAATTAGATATTTAGTACGATGAAATTAGTCATTCAATCTGATTTAGAAACTTAATATGGCATCTTTCCATATGAAAATGAATAACTTAATTAACTGGTTCTTACTTCATATGTTTCTTTTAATGCAGTTTTCTCAATCCATTTCTCCATGTAATTGTTATTTGTGTTTATAGTTATCTTTTCTTTGCATTGCATGTGTGGTTTTATTTTTTTTCTTTATCAGCTTTCTTCACTCACTTTAATTGCTCCGGTTAAAGTCCTTGGAGACATTTTCTTTTCTGATCTATTTTGCTTGAACGGCTGAGTCTAAACATGCTTGGCATTAGAAGCATCTGCTTCATAAAAGTTTGCGAGATCAAGATAGTTATTATTTACTTTTTTTTTTTGGGTAAGGGATAGTTATTATTTACTTAGCTAGTACTGGAGGTAGAACTGTAGTAGACTGGCATTTCGAAAAGACATCATTCAGGTTTTTCATATTCATAGTAGAAGTTTTCATCTGCGGAGTTTTAGCAGACTCTGCAGGAAATATAAGGAGATGAGGAGATAGTTGATGTGTTAACAATTCACTATTGCCAGACCTCCCCCCACTTTTATCCCTCCATGGGACAAAAGTCAAAAGAAAGAAAAATAATGGACCCAAAATCTCTTGGACGAAGTACGAGGTTGCACAGGAAGAATCTGAGAGATGATGCTTAAGACCTGTCTACCTGATATCTGAATTTGTGTCAGCATACATTGCAATGATTAGGGTCTTCATATCATAATCATGATCACTACCAAATAATTGATCTGCTTGTTTCTGACTAGCTTCTTGTTCTTGGTGGTTTTTAACAGAGGCAACTTTCGAAGTTCTTCCCAGGCTGAACGAAATCAAATTTAGCAGTGGTGTCATCGATGAACTCTTGTTTTTGGATTTTCCGCGTGAATGCAGGTCCCCCTCAGGATTAATGATGTTGGAATATGCGAAAGCAGTTCAGGAAAGTGTATATGAACAACTTCGCGTGGTTCGGGAGGGTCAACTCCGAATCATTTTTACCTCTGATTTGAAGGTACTGTAAAAATTGATCAGCTGTGAGGGCATAATTTATTTAAGTCGTCTATAGCTTTTTGCTTTTTCTGCTGCTCCTCAGATATTGTCATGGGAATTTTGTGCTCGGCGCCATGAAGAGCTTCTTCCTCGGAGATTAGTTGCACCACAGGTATTGAACTAAATTAAAATTTCCACTTGCTCCAGTGGTTCTTTCAGTTATATGAACTAGGATCATCCTTAAGATACAATTTGGCATTCTTTTTAACATTTAGTATTGTTCACTCCGTCGGGTTTGAACCGTTGAATCAGCCGCTGTTGAATCAGCCGCTGATGCTTGCATCAGGTTAAGCTGCCTACAAAGGGGTGTGGCCCTTCCTCAAACCCTGTATGAATGTAGGATACTTGGTACACCAGACTGCCTTTTTTATTGTTATGTCATTAAGATAGTGAAGGATCTCAATCTTCGTTCTGCTTTTAGTATGTCCTATTAGGAGAACATGTTCTGTTTTTCTTTCTCATGTATATGACAGTTGCTATCTGTAGTCGTCAATGTTTGGAGGATTTCCCAATTTCGTTTATATGACCACCTCCGTGTTGTTTCTTGGATAGTAGGCTCATGCAACTAATGTATAGGACACATGAAATCTGCTCAACTGTTGTGTTCTGTCACCAGTGATTTGATTCAACTGGGCTGCCGGTGGCCACCCTCTTTGCTGGAGGATCTGGATATTTTCTCTTTGGAATAAAAGAGAAGTCCTATTGACCCTAGCTCCACCAATTGTGCCAACCTAACTAACGCGCTTAACGATTCCCTTTCAACTTCATCTTGGCGACTCACCTGACAATGAATGAAGAGCAATTTCAGTGTTTACAACTTGTCCTCGTAACATTTTTTTTTTGCAGGTGAATCAATTGCTGCAGGTTGCTCAGAAATGCCAAACTACATTAACAGAAACTGGANTTGATATTAAAGTTATAGAGAACCGACAAGGATTTATTTGGAACTGCATGCTTCCGTTATGTTTCTTTCTTTTTTGTTCCCAGGTGTTCAAAGTGGTAAAAGCACTTCTAACCTTAGGGGATATACTTCTCACTAAGTTTGAGAGATATATTGTCTCTTATGTCTTGCAACTGGTTTGAAATATAATCTCATGTCACGTTGTTGTTACTTTTCTTAGGGTTGTCACAACTGGACGTCAACTTGCCAAGAGTTTGGAGTTGCAGTCACTTAATGATTTGGGATTTTCCAAGAGATATGTTAGATGCCTACAGGTATGTTTGAATGAATATGGGATGAGAAGATAGGCTTTTTGGTGAAGAAAATACGACATAAGAATTTTCCTCACTCTTTCATGTTTAATCAAAGCATTGGCTTTGCTTATCTGGCTTTCTAGTGTTTTAGTACTTGGATTCGTTGGTATGATGTTCAGATAGCTGAGGTCGTGAATAGCATGAAGGACTTGATGGATTTTTGCAGAGATCATAAAGCTGGTCCAATTGGTAATAGATTTGTTTTTTACATTTGTTTGGAACTAAGTGGGCGTTTGGACATAAGAATTGTAAAATTCCAAAACAGGGTGAAAATCTTTTTCAAGTGAAAATGGTATTTGAAATTTAGAGCTGTGTTTGGACATGAATATAATTTTGGGTTGTTTTTGAATTTTTATGAGTGATTTTGAGTGAAAATTTTGAAAAACAACTTTTTGGAGTTTTTCAAATTCTTGAAACTTTTTAAAATGCATCTTCGCCATTATTAACGTGAAAATCTTTTTTTAAAAAGGGAAAATTTTCTTATGTCCAAACGGGCTCTAAAACTGAAAATACTCATCTTTCGCCATTATTATCTATACCATGGTAGATTGTAGTTCTAGAGTGTCTTTTGCATGTTGGGAGAATGCTAAAAACTGTGACATTACTTCTCTGCTTGTTTTGCAGAGGGCTTAAAAAATTTCCCACGACATAGTACTGCAGCCAAATTTCAGGCACAAAATGCACAGGAAACAGAGCAGCAGGTGGGTATTCAGGGCCTGCCAACTGATCGCAGTGCATTGAACAGGCTTATGTCATTGCACCCTGGGCTTAATAGCCAAATGAGCAATAACCAGCACATGGGTGGTCGGGGAGCTTTAAGTGGCTCTGGACAAGCTGCTCTTCAGCTCACAAACTTCCAAAATTCACTAATGCGGCAAAATTCAATGAATTCAAACTCAAATACAACCCAACAAGATGCTTCTCCTTCTTTCAATTATTCGAACCACTCTCAATCTTCACTTTCGCAAGGGGCCAATGGTATATTGCCAGGGACAATGCAGAACTTACCTGTCAGTGGCTTGTCAAGTACCAATCTGCAGCAACAACAGCAGCGATTATTGAATAGTGGCTTAATCCCGCAAAATCAGTCTCAACCATCGCATGGTAGCCAGGTCCTACAGCAACAAATGATCCAGCAGCTCCTCCAGGACATGAATGCTAACAGCGGTGGGTGTGGAGTTCAACAGCAGTGCCTTTCTGGGCAGAGTGGAGGTGGTATTGCTTCTAGGGAAGGGTTTGCATTTGGAAACAATAGTTCTGTGGCTGCTGCAACAGCTACACATGGGCCGGGAAACAGTGTTGGACCAACACCAAGTAGAAGCGACAGTTTTAAATCGGCTTCTAACTGTGAACCCTCTGCATCGGCTGGCAACAGTGCTTTCAGTCAAAAAGCTCCAGATTTACCTCAAAGTCTGCATTTATCTGATGAGTTGGTCCCAGATATGACACATGAATTCAGTGAAAATGGTTTCTTTAGCAGTGATCTTGACAACAATATGAATTATGGATGGAAGGCTTGACTGACATGTTTTGCTCCTTTTGGTTTTGATGAGAAAAGGATACTGCTATATATCTTTGTACAGGTTGATTGTGTTAGGTTTTTTGTTTTCTTCTGATTCTTCCCTATTTTGTAGTTCGAGGCTGTTGTGGTGTTAAGCACTTGCCCTCTCTAGGTATTTAGGCCTACTTTCTTTACTTTCACACTCTTGGTGTTTACACCTCGAAAACCACCCACAAGTGTAATCTATAGGAATGGACTGGAGAACATTATTAACTGCTATTACTATTCTGTTCAGTTCGTTTGCCCTTTGGCCTGTCATGTGTGTGAATCCGTGTTTCAATGGTTTGCTGTAATAGAGGATGTGAAATGACTAAGATTTTGTAGGGAGGTCGTGCATGTTTCCTATCAGGCAAGCTCATGGGGAGCATGAAACTTGCAAGATTTCGAGGCGTCATGTCTTGTGTTATTTCTTGGCTTTCTGTTTCTCACTCCAACTAATGCCAATCAATACTCCTAAAATTTTATGTTGATTCATGCCATCGTTCTAGCGCCACAAAAATGATAATTTATTTTGGTTTATTTTTCTCGTTGCTGTTCTTTTTGATATCCTTTTTGCTCCCCAAAGCGAAACGAGATCTATTCTGATTTAGTGATATTTTCGATTTCCCTCCATTAACGTAATGAATGCAATTCCTCCTTTCTTTTTTTTTTGGTGGGTGGCACAGAAAATTAATTTCTTTTTGGGTCTCGTTAAGTCTTTCCCTCAAAGCTGCTCGTTTAGGGCAGGCAAAATGTGGATATACTGCTGGGTTTCTTTTAACTTACTTTTTGTCTATCAGGTAACCAGAGATGCCTCTAGACTTCCAATTTCCATAAAGATCCTCTTATTGCTTTTCAGAGGTTTCAGGTCAAAGAAGAGTTTAGAGAAATCGCGACTCCATTAAGGCAAGTAACCAATATTTAGATGTCTTGGTATCTGCCTGTCTCACACTGCCTTTCACCAAGATAAACACTTATCACTGTGTCCACTTTTACCGGCCTTTTCTTTTGGATGTTAAATTGGCAATTTGTGACCGAGTCATGGTAGAAAGAAATATTACAAGAATCTCTTGTTGGCGCAAGGCCAAGCACTGTTATGGTTGTAAGCAGCAACAAACCCAACACTCAGGTGAATAATTAACTTACAGAGCAGCAAAGAAAGGTAGGATCTATACACTCAGAATCTGTCATCCAACTGTTAAGGCCTAAAAAAGGGCGGCCAAACTAGACATCATACTCCTCATCAACCACGACAGCTCCAGCTCCTAGTAGTGTATTCAGGATCATTTGCTCCCATCCCCTCAAGTTTGAACCAAAACTACGAAGCCGAGGACTACTTGACTCTCCTTCAGAAAATTTAGTACGTGATTGGCTCAAAGTTCTCTTTTGGGTAATACTTCAGGGTCCACTTCCCCGATTCATCGAGTATTGAAACATCAAATGCTGGCAAGAGTGGTCTTCCAACAACTTGAACGTGCGACACACTATAAAAAAGGGAATCAACAAAGATTATCTTAGAGATCCCGAAGTCGTGAGATTATATTCATGCCCTTTATAACACATGTCCTCATTTAAATATACGACAACTATATGGTAGACTAAGACTGCAGTAAAAGCAGGAAATAAACGACATTTTGAATTTTGAGGCCAAGAATCCAAAAGAAGGAACTGACCATATATAATATTGACCATCCATTTCTTGTCTTTGAACTCTGCCTAAGAGCTCTAATTGTAGGACTCCACCAATGCAAAGAACAGGTTCTGGCAGCTTAAACTTCTGCAAGCTGTTCTCCTGTAACCATAAGAAGAAAACTTAGCTGTTCCAAAGTCAAGACACAAAAAAAAAAAAAAAAAAAAAAAAAANGCCAAGAATCCAAAAGAAGGAACTGACCATATATAATATTGACCATCCATTTCTTGTCTTTGAACTCTGCCTAAGAGCTCTACTTGTAGGACTCCACCAATGCAAAGAACAGGTTCTGGCAGCTTAAACTTCTGCAAGCTGTTCTCCTGTAACCATAAAAAGAAAACTTAGCTGTTCCACAGTCAAGACACATAAAAAAAAAAAATCTTAACCAAAACTGAGCTGCAGCTGAAGTCGAGTTTAAATTGTTTGCTTTCGTCAACAGAGAAGAAGATTAGTTCATGACTGAGCACCTAGCAGCTGTGTTAAAATGAGTGATATACTTCCGCCAAGGACATGTTCCGACACAAGTAAGACCAGGAAATAGGCTTAGTTAGGGAAAACCAGTACTATGACTTGGGAACAAGCTATTATCCCAAGAGTAGATGTCAGTATCCATTTGATCGCTTCACGGATAAGAACTATCCAGAATAAAAGAAACTGAAATACTGTTACTGTTTCGCACCTGCTCCATGGGAAATACTGGTGAGGTATATGTCCATATGATGTTGTCCAACAAAGATCCTTGAGCAGCCGCAGATTCATGTCCGTTGTCACTTTCTACATCTATTTTAACATTAGAATGTCCCACTCTGAATCTCACAGCTTTTGCTGAATAAATGGGAAATCCAAACTGGAAATACGCTGTTACAAGATCATAATATTTCTAGTTAATGAGAAAAAACAAATAAGCTGAATCCATAACATAACAGAAGATAAAAACTTGAGGTGCAACCTTGAAATGGTTGCACATGAAATTCTGAAATCAAGCACAACTTTGAGATTAATTTATAAGTTAGTGTCTCAGGAACAGCAGGATCACTTTCTCCTCTACTTGACCAGTATGAAGCCCTGCGGCCAACCTGATCACTCGGTTCTAATGTATTCAGAATGCTTTCTTCAGGATAGTTATCAGTACTTGATGCAAGGATTGCATCTATTAAGCAATCTTTCCTCGTACAGTTGGAAAGGCCTTGTGCCAAAAATGCATAAACTCTGTGATCCCACTCCAGACATAACAACTCGAGTCTACGCTGAGATACTACTGGTGTAATCGTGTTTTTAACTTCAACCATATTTGCGACACTTGATATTTCAGGAAATCTCCTTAAACAGAGATGCTTACACAATCCATTTCCAATCACTGCACAAAATTGTGGAGTGTGAAGTGAGATGGCTTGGGAAAAAGATAAAAAAGGATGACAAAGACCCTGATTTTTCCGTTTCAGCAAATTAAGAAACTATACTCATACCATTCTTTTAACAGCATATAAGGCACTAAGCATTAAATGTTGATGAAAATGGCTGTAAATAAACTAGGTAAAAAGATAAAGTCATCATCCATAGAAATAACAGCACCTCTATTTGGCTATCTATATAGAATGGAAGTAGTGTAATGTGAAGGGAAGGGAATGGAACTGCATTATAATGTGAAAGATGGCGTATAGTTTACCGAATTGACGCCAAGAAGTAGAAACAGCAGAAACCCGAACAAGATCAGAGGGATCCTCCAAATACATTAGGATCTTTATAGACATATCAGGTAGAAACCATTGCACAAAATCCCCACATCTCTCCATTTCAATCTTTATATCACTCGAAGGCGTTCAGTCACCTATCAAACACAACAATAACAAGAACCAACTAATTTGATGCAGCCCAAATAAGTCAGTCAAAACATACTACTATTTTGAATTCAGAATTCTAATCCAAAATACCCAAAAGACAGAAAATTCAGGCTCTTGGGTCAATTAGGTTCCAAACAAGACCCATAATTAAGTTACTAAAACCTATTCATTAAGAAAGGAAGAGATTGTATAACAGGACAAAAAAGAAAAGGGTAGTGAAGAAAGGAATTTACCTTTTGCAAGAAGTAAACAATACAACAACAACAACAACCCAGTATAATCCCACTTAGTGGGGTCTGGGGAGGGTAGTGTGTACGCAGACCTTACCCCTATCCTAGGGTAGAGACTGTTTCCAAATACACCCCGGACATACTTCCCTCCAAGAACTTCCCACCTTGCTCTTGGGGAAACTCGAACTCACAACCTCTCGGTCGGAAGTGAGGTTGCTTACCATCAGAGCAACCCCTCTCGTCACGATCAAGAAAATGAAAATGTGAAAGAGAAAGGAGTTGATTAATGGGTGGTGGCAGAAACCGCACCAACCGACAACCACAGCTTTAGATCAAATTCTAAAGGGAAAGTAATTAAAACTATAAAGGATATTAGTAGTATATACAAAGTCAAAACTCAAATGTCATTATTGATTGATTACAGGCCAATAATTAAGATTATTTATGTCTTTACTTTCGATCCCTCATTAGAGAACGATCGTAATAGTAATACTAGTACCTGCTAAAATATGGACTATTTCTGAAGCAGAGAGGATAACACAATAGATACAGGAGGAAAGGTAAAGTCGATAAGGACAGGTTTTATCGTACACTGTCATTGTCTGGTGTACGTGTCAAGTTACCATATCCGTCAGAGAAATTGAAACTTGAAACATGGTTGACCCTCCATTTTATGCTCCTTTTTTTCTGGAATTACCGATCCAAGGAACGTGCTTATGGTTATACATATTAAGTTTCATAAGTTGTTGTTGGGTTAAAGATTATATTGCACTGATACTTAAAAGATGTAAAGCTGTAACTTGTTCTATCATACATACAAATCTTATTTTGCTCTTTTGGTTAAAAGTTAAAAGGCTCTTTTTCAAAAAATAATTGTCCATTTGTCATGTTCTCTACTTTTTTAGGAGTAAATTACTTACATCATCGCTCAATTATCTAAAATTATGGACTATAATCATATTTTTTTATTTGTAACACGAAAATGACTCAGCTATTCCTATTACACATAATGGTCATTCATTGGAATTTTTTGACCAAAAAGTATGAAACCTTTTGTTAAACTAATTAAATAAGAGAATAATGAGTAAATCCTAGCTAAACATAATAAATCATAGATCTGAAATATGTTTATACAAATAACATGGAATTGCATTTAAACCAATTTAATACAAGTGGTATTAAATGATACTGCTATGAGTGAGTAGGGGAATAATGATAAGCAATAACTATATTAAATGACAATAAATGTAAATAGAAAGAATGATTCACCCAAATATCGAATGAGGTGCATGATTCTTCTATCTGACAATGATATAAGATAAATGAACGTGGGAATATAGAGAGCTTTCTCGGATCTGATGCGAGAAAATGTGATATAAACAACAAATCAGATCTTTATGGAAATGCAATGTTTGTAATTTAAGAATTCTTATCATATAGAATATTACATGCCCTCTTCCTCTCTCTACCTTTCTCTTTATATGAGACTAGTATACGTACTCGCGCGATGCGCGGATCGATTCAAAGAAAAAAAGAGCGAGAGAGACAATAGAAACATATGTATATATATTGCTGATTAAATTTAACGATCGAATTCAAAAGAATTAAAATAAAAAATGAATAGATGAATTTATTGGGGCCAATATTGGAACCCAAGTATGATTCAAAACCAAATAACAGTACTATTCTAAGAAAATTTTCCAGTAACTGTGAAGCTAGCTTAGATCAACCGTACAAACCTTTGCAATTGATGTGAAAATGTAAGAGGTAAAAAACTGATGCTCGATTTCTATCAAGATAGATGTCATAGGCTAGTTTTTAATCCTTGAAAGTAATAAAATTAAGTTTTTCATCATGGTAAGATTCTCATTGTCCTGGATTCCAAGAGAAAAAAATTGACATATATTTAAGAAAGGGTTATTTCTTGTCAATTTTAAAAAGAAACTGTTTCGTCTTTGATATTTGCAATAATGTCTCTGCAGGCCACTGTCAATCCAGTTCCTCTTAATGAACGAAAAGTTGCTGTAAAATTTAGCTCTTTCAAGATAGCTGGTCTTGTAGGTGAAACCTTAATTTTGGCTTGGAAATGTAAGTAGCCTGCATTTTATTGTATTCCTTACGGCAATATGACTGCGACATTAATATATTTTCATTTCTACTTACCTATCTCTCTGTTACTGCTTTCTTCATGGTGAATTAGGTAGAAATACTAAACCAAACGTATAAAGCTTTACTTGTTAACTTTTCAAATAATAATCAACTGGTTGTAAGTGAAGAATAAAGAACTAATTTATGCTTCAATTTGTTACAATGCATAACTACCAAATTGAATATCAGAAAAAGCCTATTCTACTTTTAAAAAACTCATAATGGTGATTAAGGTTCCTCAAATGTATTCCTCCAAGTGTTTATCCCAAACTGTCAAATATATTTTATGGAGGATATGTAAGCACGTGATTTTTTCCCTGTATGAGGATTACTCCCAAAAAATTCAAAATAAAACAATTTTCCTTTGTGTGCAATTTTTGAATTTTCGTGACATTTTTTGATAATTATTTGTATTTTTGCCTGTGCATGTTAATGTGTTAAATTAATAAAAAATATATCGCATTTGCATTTGATATTTAATTAAGTTTGTTTTACAAAATGAAAAAATCATAAAAATAATGTACGTTGCATTTTTAACATTTAATGTCCAAATTGTGTGATTTTATCGTTAATCGCTATTTAATTGTGTGTTAATTATTATTAAGAGTTAATTAGTATTTTCAGATAATTTTGGGTTTTATAATTTAATCTTAGCATTTTTAGCTTTATTATTTAGGAAATTGAATAAATAGAAAAGAACAAAAATAGAAGAAGACCGGATTGGGCTTTTTCTTCAATTTTAGACCACAGGCCCAAAGATACCCAACCTTCCCCTACGACCCGGTCCATTTCAAACCGGGTCGACCCAGTCCATAACCCAAAAAACCCAACACCCCTATCTCCATATCTTTCATTTCACAAAAAACAAACCCAAAAAACCTAAGAACCTACCCGCCCCCTCCCTCTTCTTCTTCTCCAAATCCCTCCAAACCCTAGCAGCCATGGCTGCCTCCTCATCGTCACCATCACCTCCGGCAACCATGGTTGCCTACCCCTGCTGCGTCGTCCTCCTCATCGTCACCACCTGCTGCTGCCGCTGCTTCGTTATCTTCTTCGGCACGCAGCGAACCAGTTCAAAACGAGCTCCACCTCCTCGTCCCAAACGACCAGCAGCTCGACCAGATTCACGACGCACAACCATGGCTGCCCGCGTTGCTGCTGCTGCTTCATCCAGTTTCTGCAGCGTCGCCACTGCTGCTCCTGCTACGTCCAGCCATGGACGAGCTACAGCGTCGCTTCTGCTGCCTTCTGCTATGTCCAGCCATGGACGACCACCAAAGCTGCCCTCCGTCGAGCATGTTCAGCAGTAGCAGCTGCTACTACTTCACCGCCTCCTCTCCGCCACTGCTTCGTCTTCAAACGATACCAAACAACAATCTTCTTCGATCATCCGTTCGTGGTCGTCTTCGGCGTCAAGTTATTTTGGTGCGATAATTGTTTCCGGGCAGATTTGTTTTCGTTCGAGTTCATCGTCGTTCCGATCCGGTTAGTTGGTTTAAGTTTTGTTTCTGTCCGTAATTTGTTTGATATTTTCGGATATGAAATCAGTAAATGTTTGATTCTTGTTTTTGTTCGTGTTTATCATTTTTTTATTTTTTTCAGTTTGTTTCATTTTTTCTTGTTTATTTTTTAGGTAGAAATTGTTAGTTTAATTATAATGTTGTTAGATTTAAGTTGAAGTTCAATTAATTATTTCTTCAGTTTGTTTTTATTAATTTAAAAAGATTTAGTTTTAATAAAGAAATATGTTAGTTTGATAACTTGAATCCGTCATCTTTGTTGTTTAATATACATTTAATTCGTGTTCATTTTTTTTATTTGAAGTTCGTTTTTAATCCAGTGATTTAATGTGAGCTTATGTTTTGGTTTTTAATTTTTTGATTTAGTTTGAATCATTCATCTTTGTTGTAATGTTGTTAGATTTAATTTGAAGATCAATTGATTATTGAGTTTAGTGATTTGAATCCGTTTATTTGTTCTGTTTAAGTTTAATTTGAATTTGAGCTCAATGATTTGAATATACTTGTTTGTTATTGTTGTTGAATCTGAAAGTAGATTTGTTGTTTAAAAATATTGTTCAGTCAAAATAATTCCAGTTGTTTCTTTGTTGTTCATCATTTAGTTTGAATTTGTTGATTGAATTTGATTAAGAATTGGTTATAGTTGCTGTATTTTGGTTAGAATTGATTAGGTGAATTGATTATAGCTGATGGTGGTAGAATGGTCAATTGCAGTATTTTCAAGGGTAAAATGGTAATTTCAGTAATTTCAAAGGGGTATTTTTGAATTGAAAATCTGAACAATTTTTTATTTTTAGTGCTCTGTCCATTAAGATTAAATAATATTTAAATAATATTAAAATAATACGTAGTGGGGGACAAGACATAATGGTGAGGAATTTTTACATTGTTTAATATAGTGGGGGACAAAACATGCGGTAGTGGGGCAATAAGTGATGTGTTAATACATTGTTTAATATAGTGAGAGACAAAATATTAGGTAGTGAGAAATTAAAGGGGGATGGGTAGAAGATAGTGAGATTTAATTTTTAAAATGCTGAAAGTTGGTAATAAATAGAGGGGCTGGACACAAATAAAAAGGGGCTGGATATCGAAGAGAGTGGGAATTCCGAAAATATTAAGATTTCCAAAAAAAAAAACATTCTGAAAATTTAAAGAGAGAGTAGTATACACCTGATATACAATCTAAATATTCTGATATACGGATTCAGAAATTAAGGGTTAAATATTAACTAGTCTTTCAATCTGAAAAGATTCCCTTTACTTCTGCCCGTTGATTGTTGTTGCTGTCTCTGGATTTTCGTTTGATTTGTTCCTTGAGT